GGAGGAGGTAGGGAGAGAGGAGGATGAGGAGGATCGGGCGTGGCAGACGTGGAGGACGAGCTGGAGGAGGAGGAGGAAGAGGAGGAGAAGCAGGGGGAGGCGGAGTAGGAGAAGGAGGAACGGGAAGATGATGATGATGATGATGATGATGATGATGATGATGATGATGATGATGATGATGATGATGGTGATGATGATGCTGATGATGATCATGATGATGACGATGATGGTGATGATGATGACGATGCTGATGATGATACTGATGATAACGATGATGATGCTGTTGATGATGATGATGATGATGATGCTGATGATGAGGATGATGCTGCTGCTGATGTTGATGAGCTGCTGCTGTTGCTGCTGCTGATGATGCTTTTGCTGCTGCTTCTGATGATGATGCTGATGATGCAGATAATGATGATGATGATTATGATGCTGATGATGATGATGATGGTGATGATGGTGATGATGATGATGATGATGATGCTGCTGATGATCATGATGATAATGATGCTGGTGCTGCTGATGATGCTGATGATGGTGATGATGATGATGCTGATGCTTCTGATGATGATTACGATGTTGTTGTTGCTGATGATGCTGACGATGATGATTCTGATGATGATGATGCTGATGATGCTGATGATGCTGTTGATGATGATGCTGATGATGCTGATGATGCTGATGATGCTGATGATGCTGATGATGCTAATGATGATGATGATGATGATGATGATGATGATGATGCTGAGGATGATGATGATGATGATGATGATGATGATGATGATGATGATGATGATGATGATGATGGTGGTGGTGGTGGTGGTGATGGTGATGGTCATGGTGATGGTTATGGTTATGGTGATGATGATGATGATGATGGTGATGCTGTGTTGCTGCTGATGATGATGATGATGATGATGATGGTGATGCTGATGATGATGATGATGCTGATGATGATGATGATGATGATGCTGATGCTGATGCCTGATGATGATGATGATGATGATGATGATGATGATGATGATGATGATGATGATGATGATGATGATGATGATGATGATGATGATGATGATGATGATGATGATGATGATGATGATGATGATGATGATGATGATGATGATGATGATGATGATGATGATGATGATGATGATGATGATGATGATGATGATGATGATGATGATGATGATGATGATGATGACTATGATGGAGGGGGAGGATGAGGACGAGGACGAGGACGAGGACGAGGACGAGGACGAGGATGAGGACGAGGACGAGGACGACGAGGAAGATGAGGAGGAGGAGGAGGCAGACGAGGAGGAAGAGGAGGCACCTCCTTGCCCCTGGGCCCTCGACCACCCCCAACCCCCGCCGCTGCGGTTCCCCACAGCGGGCTTCTCCGCGGTCCGCCCGCCTGCCCCGAACCGCGCCTGCACGCGCCTCGTGGGCCTGGGCGGGCCGATGGTCGCGGCGGAGGAGCTCCCCGCCGGGGGGGGGGGGGCCGCCGCCGCCGATGGCCGATCGCCGCGCGCCGGTCGCCGCCGCCGCGGCCGTGGCCGCGGCCGCCGGGCGACGACGACGACGGCGACGGCGACGACGACGACGACAACGACGGCGATGGCGACGGCGACGGCGACGACGACGCTGACGACGCTGACGACGCTGATGACGCTGACGACGCTGACGGGGACGACGACGAGGACGAGGACGAGGACGAGGACGAGGACGAGGACGAGGACGACGACGACGACGACGCCTCGCCTGGCTGCGCCGAAGGCCCCCGAAAGCCCCCTCGCCCCCCAGTGCTTGCCCAGCATTTGATTCATCGCATTGGAGCCTCGGAGCTGAAGGCGGTGCCAGCAGGTGCTCGGCGCCTCTGGCTCCTCCATCTCCTCCTCCTCCTCCTCCTCCTCCTCCTCTGGCCTTCGATGGTCAGGGGCACCACGGGCCCCCAATCGCCCATGGATCGCGGATACGGGGCTTGAGAGGCCACCCCGCCCAGTTCATTGCGGATTCGCTATCGGGCGCCGCGCTATGTGCCGCCGTGCCTGCGTCCTGGAGTGCGACAACTGTGGCGGGCTGCGGCGCGCCGCCCATGTGCATGATAGTCCAGGGTTGGCGTGCAGGGTCTCTACGCCGGCGTCGTGCTTATGGGAGCCTCCCCTCCCAGGTGCCTGCCGCCGATGCGTCGGCGATGCGTCGCCGATTCCGGGGCCATGCCCCCCCCTGGGCCAGCTGGGCCCCCTGTCGTTGCCCCTCCGCCAGGCCTGGGGGGCGTCGGCGGCCCCTCGAGGGCCCGTTGGGGGGCAAGGTGGGGGCCCCCTTCGGGGGCCCGTCGGGGGCCCGTCGGGGGCCTTCGGAGGCCTTCGGCGCAGCCACGCGTCGTCGTCGTCGTCGTCGTCGTCGTGTTCGTCGTCGTCGTCGCGGCCGTCATTCCGGAGAGGCGGTGGTAGGACGGGCGGAGGAGCGGGGATTGGGAATGCCCAGCTGCGGCGATAGATGTATTGCGGCTTCGGACAGAATTGTGGTGCGCTCGGCCATGCGCAAGGGAGGGAGGGATGCACCGAAGAGGATGGATGGGGGATGGGGACGATAGGGGATAGGCAGGGAGGGATGAGGGGATGGCGAGAGGGGAAACGAGGGAGGTGAAATAAAAGGAGGCGGGGACTGGGCCGGGTAGCGCCAGTCAATGGGTCTTAGGAGAGGGAGAGGTGCAGGACCCCCCTCCATGCCAATCGTCCTGGAGGATGGGCATGGAGGTGGAGCGTGAGCAAGGAGTATGAGGAGTGGGAGGTGCGATGGAGAAGCAGGGAGGAATATGGATCGAAGGAGGGCAGGTGCTCAGCATGCGGAGGGGTGACCTCTGGAGTCAGCAGCGCTATGCTTGCTCGACCCCTCAGCTCCTTTTGCCGGTCAGGCTCCTGGGATGGGAGCCTCCGATGAGCACGACGCCATGCATCGGGAGGGGAAAAAACACACAGACACAATTAATCGTCGATTTCCAAGAAAATATGGGAAAATATGGGAAGTGGTGGGAAAGACAAAAAACCCAAAAATGTAGGAAAATATGGTGAATCTTTTTATTTGTGTGTATTTATTTGTGTGTCCTGGGGCCCCTTCAATGCATAGCGGGCACCTGCCGGACCGCGCGGCACAGCACCCTCCTTCACGCTCCGGAGCGCAGGCGCGGCACGGCACGGCACGGCACAGCGCGGCACGCCACGGCACGGCGCGCGAGCACGGCACGACGTGGCGTGGCGCGCGGGCGGCGTTCCAGCAGCGGGGCACGGCACGGCACGCCCCTCCGCATCCCAGACACTGGGCGCTGCACGACACCGCACGGCGCGCGGGCGGCACCCGTCGTGCTCCAGCAACGAGGCACGGCATGGCACGGCGCGGCGCGGCACGCGGGCAGCACTCATTTCGCATCGCCGGACTGAGTAGGCACGGCATGGCGCTGCACCACACGGCACGCGAGCACGGCGCGGCATTTTTTCCCCATTCCAGCAATCAGGCGCGGCGCGGCACGCCGTAACACCCGGGCGCCCCCCCAAAATCGCCGGCGCGGCACGGCACGGCACGCGGCCACGGCACGGCAAGGCGCAGCACGCTACGCCCTGGCACGCGGGCGCCAATTTCTTCGCAGCCCAGAGACTACAGTCGGCCCGGATTAGTAGGTCGACCCTGCCGGATCAAGGGTACCCTCGTGTCCTGTGTCTCGCGCCCATGCCTCTTACATTCCTGTGGCAACGTGGCCCTCGGAAGGGTCTTGTGTCCTCTCGCGTGTCCTCTCCAATCGAGTCCGGCACGGCAGGGCACCCGAGCACAGCACGCCACGGGACGGCACGCGGGCGGCAGCGCTTCCGCATCCGCGCAGCCAGACAGCGGCACCTCACAGCACGCGTGGCGGCAGCTTTTGCCGCATGTCAGAGCTCGGGCGCCGGCACGGCGCGCGCGAAACGGTGGGAGGAGGATTGACGATGAGGGCGAAGGAGCTCATCCAAGAGAGCGGAGGAAAGCAGGGAATGAGAAACGGTGGGAGGAGGATGGACGATGAGGGCGGTGGTGGTGACAGTGTGGTGCACACAAGGCGTAAAACAAAGTATGGTGGGTTCCTCGGTAGCGTAATTTTCTTTGATCATGGAGCCCAGACCCTTTCACAATATTCGCTGTTGGGACGCCTGCCATCGATGGTTGTCTGGCCTCGCAGGGCGCGACCGTCGTTGGGGCATTCGTTCGGGCAGTCCTTCGAGACTTCTGGAGCCCAGCTCGTTGCAAGTACCACGCCTCGAACATTTCAGAATGACAGATGAAGTTCTTCACGCTTCGCGTATCCCCACCAGGCCTGGTGTCTGGGGTCTGCCCTCGGGGTACACCACAGGGCCAGCGCCCCACGAGCTCGGGATGGTGGGCCTTGGAGCCCCGTGTTCGCTTCGGAGAGGTTCAGCCTTCCGTCAGACGCGGCGCTTCCCCTGGACCCATTCCAGCCATTCAGGCAGGTTTTCGACGTCACCTCGGCAGATTTGCCCCATCAGCTTGCATACGCCGCTGGTGCAGCCCTGGACCTGGCGCCACGCTGGCGACTCGTTCATCGTTCACTTCGCCTGTGCGTACCCCAGGAGCGTGAGACGCGTAGGCATCTGCGCACACGTCTTCGCGCTCTCTGAGTGGGTCATGCCGCATGGCGTACACCGAATTTTCTGGCATTTTGCTAGGCTGCACGTTGCCCGAGCTTCCCTGGGTGCCCTCAGCCTGTCAGCTTTCCCGCGCAGCACAGCAGCTGCCTGGTGAGCGGGCCCGGCCGGCCTGCGGCGCTTCCAGTAGCTAAGGCGCTTCCAGTAGCTAATGAGGCCGTTACCGCGCCCCGGAACGCTTCTGACTCCGCCTGCGCCTTCGCTTGCGGACGCGACCGGAAAAGTATCCCCACCAGGCGACGGTCCTGGAGGACGGCCAGTTGGTCAGCTCCCTGTACCTCGGTGCGGATCGCGGCTCGCGCCTCCATGGACTTCCCGGGCACGGTCTTCCCTGGCGCGGGCCTTCATCTGGGTCTCCCGCCGGCTGGCGCACATTCGCGGCCTCGGCACTTGGGCCTGACAGGTTCATGGCCTTTGGCGGCTGGCGGCTGGCGATGGTCTAGAGTACTCGGTCGCCCACCCGCTGCATACGTACTTGGAGAGCAACGTGTCCCTGGTGGTCACCTACTCGGTCCTTCGCCTCTGAGCTGCGCCGCGTGTGTTTCTGTTTCTCCCTCCCTTGGTCGTCTTTCCGTCTTCTTCGCTTTCTTCTTTCCGCTTGTTTTCATCGCTCGTTTCGCTCTTTCCCGCTTCGCCCCGTTTTCGTCACTCTTGCGCAGCCTCTGCGTAGTGGCCCTGTATTTTTCCGCTGCCTTGCACTTGCACGGCTTCGCAGTTCGCTGGACCTCACGACGCCGCGCGGGTGCCCGCTCGCGGTCGCGATCAAAAAAGTATCCCCGCCAGGTTTTTCTCTGGGCGGCGCTCGGCCTTTCCGTTTGCGCTCGCGATCGCAAAGTCCCCGCCAGCCCATCATAAACCCTGCCCATCAGAGCTGACGGGGAAAGGGACGACGAGACACATATAGGGAAACAAGGCGAGCAACCACGGTGAACCGAGAGATCTTTGGGAGCAAGGGGGTGGCCTTGGAAGGCCCCCTCGGGCCGTCCCTGGGGGCCGCGTGGGGGCGAAGGGAAGAGGAGGAGGAGGGGGAGGAAGAGGAGGAGGATGAGGACGAGGAGGGCGAGGAGGACGAGGAGGACGAGGACGCGGATTCGGACGAGGACGAGGAGGACGAGGACAGTGATGAGGACGACGCGGACGAGGACTCATGGAACCATCTAGAGGTATTCTTGCGGCTGGCGCTGCTGGTGCTCTCTGGGAGTTTTTGGGGCCCTCTTGGAACCCTGTAGGTAGTCTGGAAGGCTTCTTGGGATCATCTTGGAGGCCATCAATTACTGGGTGGGGGGTCCCCAGTTCAGCTCCCCCTCAGGAGCCGGCAAACCGCTTCTTGGGGTTCTCTTGGGGCGCTTTTGGGCGCTCTTGGAGCGGTCTTGGGGCCGTTTGGAACGTTTTGGGAGCCATCTTGGGCTATCTCAGCCATCATGGAGGTCATCTTGGGCTCGATGAGGCCTCTCGGGGGCCTCCTGGGGGCCTCCCGGGTGCCTTTTGGGGCCGTCTTGGCACCCTCTTGAAGCCCTCTTGGGGCTTTCTTGGGGCTCTC